AGTCACACAGGACATTTTCACTAGCACCATAGCACCCTTGAAAGGGTGTCATGAGTCCTGAGGTACTGATGTGTCTGAGAAGCATATTTTACTTGAAGAGTTTGCCTTGTTTAGCCCCATGAAATGTTTTGGAAAGAGGACATGATTATTCATGATTATGAAAGAGGACAGTGGTGGCACAAATAGTTGGATGTAAACTGGCCAGGAATAAAACTCCCTGGCCCTGTCAGAGCCCCTCACTCCCAACCTTCAGGGTGTGTCCATCCCCCCCTCCCATTCCTACAGAGTAAGGAAGGCAGCTGCAGGGTGGGGCATATGGGCTCTGTCACTTGTCGTCCCTGCAGCCTCTGCCTCCTGTCTGCTTCCCAGGTAGGGGCTGGAGCCTTCGTGTGGTCTGGGAGGGATTGGACTCAGAGCTGCACCTGCCAGTAAGCAGTTGGCAGGGTGGGGGGAAAGGAGAGGGGTTCGTGGGCAGGCACCTGCTGCACCTTTGACTCTAGCCCCATCCCAGGCTTTGCCTGCTGCCTGGGGTAGAGATGCTTTTAAGATGACTGGAGAGTATGGCAGCTCTGGAGCTCTTCAGCATGCCCTTCATGTCTTACAAGCAGGGGATGGTTTCACTCACTCCTTTTGCTGAACTCTCAAGGCTTTTATACACCAACACAAAGCTTAAAAATTGGCTATCAGTATCAGCCCCCAAAATCTCTATTGGTGTACCCCTACATGTTGCTCTAGTTGTCCAGGGTCTACCCTGATTTCTAAGAGCTTTCTTGGCATGATTCAAGTTGCTAGTGTTCTAACCTATAAGGCCCTAATAGGTCTAGGTACTACGTACCTTTCTCCCTTATGCCCCGTCACAGTGCCTAAGGTCAACCAAGAATAAACTTCCTGCAAATACCATTGCTGTACCAAGTTTGCTTGGTGACAACCTGTGAGAGGTCATACTTGGTAGTTGTTCCTCAACTTTAGAGCTACCTCCTTCCTTGAGGCCTAGCAGAGCCTGAACTGATATATCTTCCAGAAACACTAAGACCTTCCTCTTTGGGTAGGTGTTTAGCAAACAAGGGTATGCTGGGGGATATTGTTTAGAGACTTTGTTTGTATTTTATTTTAATATTGTAAGCTATTTGTTTTGTACTGTAAGCTGCCCTGAGTCTTTGTAGAGAATGGCTGCATATAAATCTAATAAATACTGGTAAATAAATTCTATCCTGGACCTGAGGAGAGTGAACAGATGGTTTGGACTATTTCAGATTGAGGATAATAGTTTGCCACAACCATTTTATCTCCTTTGGTTTGCAACTGCCATTTGCTAGTCTGGGGGTACATCCTAAGACCCTGCCCAAGGGTTTTTGCAGAGTTTCACTAGAGTAAATAAATCTACTTTGATTTTATTCTTCCTTAACTCTGACTACTCAAGAGCAGGCTCATCCCTGCACAGTTTAGATGTTTGAAAGACTCTTGTCTCTGTTTACAAAGAATTAGACCTTTTGAGAGGACTTCATGCTCATAGCCACAGCAGAGAATGGATTTTGGATTACATCAGGGATATATGAGCGCCAAGGTAGAGCTTCCAACAGTGGTTAGACTGCAGTATGTGTGTTGTCTCTCTCTAGAAGTTCTTCATGCAGACTATCTTTATTTGTATACCACGTGCACCTTTACCAAAAAAATTGGCCGTCCAAAATTGGGGTGAGTGTTTTAAACAAGGAAGCTGATTTCTCTGCCATGTCATTGGCAGCTGTGACCAAGGTTAAAGCTTGAGTTGTGAAAAGTTGCAAGGAGAAGAGTGAGTGATGCTGAAGAGTAGATTCTGTCCTTGATGCATGTGGCCTGTATTCAACCATGACCTTGGGGGAAAATTTTTTTCCTTCATTCTGCCTCCCTCCCCCCCCCCCCC